TCGAAGCGCACTTGATCAGTAAAATCAACTATTTCTTTAAAACTATTGTTATATATGATATAGAACTCTAGAACTATTGTAAAACAAACCGGAACTTTAAAGAAATAGTTAATTTTAGTGATTAGGTTCGCTGCGTGAAGTTAGCGCACCTTTTTTTGAAAGTCTATTTTTTTGTATTTAATGACCCGAACTATTTAAAATTGAGCTCATAGAGCTCTAGAACTTATAAATAAGCAATTGACAATTAAAAGAATTTATAGATTTAGGTAAATATGTTATTAGCACGAAAAATATTTTAAATTTTTTATTTTTTCTCTCAATTAGGCAGAATTAGGCACGTGTCTTTGCCTAATACTGATACATTTACTTAGTGTTTCTGCAAATTTCTGACACGAGTCTCTCGCAGCAGCGACGCTATTCCATCAAACAGTAGTAATCAGTAACGAGAATATTGCAACCTGATTTCCGATGAGCATCGAATCGTATTTGGTATTCAAGAGGAAAACTAATCTTCTACTACTAAATATTATTAAATAACGACTTCTGCGGTTGCGTCGCGAAACCCAGTGAAAAACAAATGTTGCAATCTTTGTGACATTGACTGTGTAATGAAAATCGCACTGGGCTGTTTATCGAGCCGGCCCCGAACGATCAATATGTGATTACGATTGAATTCGGGACGAAGTTTCGTTTGTGGTCGTATATGAGCCGTGTGCGAATATTTACACGAGTAACAAAAGAGACGGAGAGGCTCCTATGTTGCGACCTATAATTCACGACAGGATTCCACGTGTCAAAAGTCCATTCATAATCAACGAGACATCATAAAACATCCGAAGGATCAAAATAGTACCTACGATTCTATGTAAAAATTTACACGTTTTCTTCCAAGAACTTAGTCCGAACTTTCTTTTTGTCAATAAAAGAATAAGGATCGAAGTCAAGCATTTTTTTTCCGAGGTTACGCGACGAAGTCGCCAATTCAACATCCTATTTCGCACTCACGAGTCAAACGCGATGCTTTGGAACAACAAAAAAATAATCAGGCGACCGAGACAGAGGATCGACGGTGTCCGCGGACAATCGAGGAAGACCAATGTCTCTATCCACGAAAAAAGGAGAAGTCGCGCGAACTACCGTTTCGCAAATAAAATTTCTGACCGAATAATCGCGGTTACTCGGACAAGGTTAACCCGTCTATAGAGACGAGAGCGGGAAAGAGGGGATCAGAGTCCCGTTCGCGAATAAGTGTCTTGAACCGATGCTGTCAGCCGCAAGTGACCGAACAGCGGTCCCAAATTGCGGGGACTACGCGTGGCCTGGTATCGTTTCCTCGGCGGGATACGCCGGTGTTGCTAGCGCGACGTCGGAGATAACGAAGATTTGCTTGTTTAAACAATAGAGATATAAGTTTAGATTGGAGGTAACGAAGATTTGCTTGTTTAAACAATAGAGATATAAGTTTAGATTGCTTGTAATAACAAAGTCGAATAGAAAGGGGAAAAACGCGTTGATGGGAGTTGAGTAAGATCCTGTCCGCTGCCCAAGGAATATTATTAGACGCGAAAGTCAGGTTTAATTTGTGAGATTCATATGAAATTCCAAGGCCGGTAGTAACAGTTATTACTTTTGTTCAGTTTGTCCTAATCAACTCGTAACCGTAATTATCGTACATCCTGTACCTATAGTTGTGATTTAACTGAAAAAAATCTCATTTAAACCTGAGTGTCTCACGTGAGACGAGTTTCACAAGCAATAACTATTAATATGAGCCTGAATACTTAAGACAAGTCTTAATAAACGTCTATTAATATGGCTGGTATTCAAAGTTCCGAATTATTTAACATGTCTAATATATTTAATATATTTGAGATTTTCAAGAACTTGCAGATTCGTTTTCATAGTCCATTATTCGACTGTTTGGGTCAATGTTTCTTGCACGAAGTAAAATAACAGATGCAAGTTGACGAGTAACTTTACCTTTAATTATTCATGAAGCTATAACGTCGTTTGTCAAATGACGAAGGACTATAAATCAAAATTTCGATTATTTTTTTATTCGCAGTAAGTTTGTTAAATGTTTGTTAAATCCATTAGAAGCTTCCTTTATAATAAATAATTTAACACACCTTAAAAATATATGATAGGCCGCTGCACTCGCCTGGGTGTCCTAAGCTCATCCTGACTGCTTCGTCGTAGCACTGACACTGACTCTAAATAAACTATACTACTTATATACTATAACAGGCTCTCCTGAAGTTGGTTAGATGGCGTGCAAGAGTGTGTGGTGCTTCATTAAGGGGATGCTGAAGTCGTCGACGAATTCGAACAATGTCGATAACACAGAGACGATCGACATAACTAACTAACACAACACTAACACAATCACGCTATCCTATTGATTGTACATATTACTTACGTAATCTTACATACAAATTTTACGTACAAATCTTACGTAAATGTATGTTACTTTGTTTTACCATATTCACACACACAGCGGAAAATCTAACTGCGCATGTGTAGAAATCTTTCCGCAAACTTTTCCGATATTCTTAAGCTTCTGCATTCAGATGCGAAGCTACAGCAATGTTCTTCAAAATTTTTCTGTTTGGAGCATCCACACTTTCGGTATGTACGTCGCAGAACTTTTGAATTGGGCAAATATTACGCTAATAGTTTGAGATTTTACATTTAAAATATTTTTCCCATTTTTGTTACGTATTGAGCAATATTCCTATTTATTTTTGCGCGTACTTTCATTGCAAAAGCAGTTGTAATTTGGTGTAACCAATATGATACAAACTTTGCAGAAAAATGTCAGTATTCTGTCGATAAAGTTTTCAGCATCCTCTCAACGTGGTGCATAAATGTTGGTCAATTGTGATGGTTAAGGGAGGAACCTGATTTATAGGGCTCAAAAAATCGAATTTTCAAAAGTTGTCTTAATCGATAGTGGTATTACCCTTAAAGTTTTAAGCCGAAATTCAAAATACTTTTCGAGTTACAGCTTGATGAAGATCATGCGTCGGGCAGATATACAGCGCGCTCCGCTTTCCTAGTCTTTCGTAGAGGATTATCATCAGTTCAGAAGAATGTTTCGTATTGAGTAAATGAGTCATTGTTTATATTTATATGTTAAGATTTATGTTTGAACGTATTAGAGTAGTCGAAACAGTTGTCAAATAACAGTGAAATTTAGAAACAGCGCTTTGTGTCGTTATAAACGGTCAATCGAAAATAGTCGAAATTACTTCTTTATTGCCGCATGTGTCTTCAATGAAGGATATAGCAGTATATTAAAGATGATGAATATGTTAGATATTAGAATTGGGTTGCAAGCTCAAAATTTTGCCCACTCATACGACGAACTGCGACTTGTGAGGCAGCGGCGTCGCAGTTTAAGCAGCTCAAAAGAAGCTCGAACAGCGCGTAGAATGGAATTAACGGTCCAGAACGTGTTCTATAAAGGAGCTGAAGGATTATTATATGGATCTGGTATCTCAGATTAGCCTGTGACTGCTATAAATGGTACTTTTGTGTTCCTCAAACTTTTCGCTAAACGCGATTTTCTCAAAATAGTATTTCCTGAGTTTGTGTACACGATAGAGACAAATAAACCGATTGAATTGTTTCTAAGCTTGTTCTGTAGCTGATTAGTTCTTCTTCTAGATGAACTTAAATGTTTTTGAAAACGTTACATTAGACTAATTTTTTTGCAACACATAGTTGAAACTTTTTGATAAAAATCGTAACTTTTCTTTCAAAGTCGTTGAAAGTTAACAATTTTTGCTTTTCTTGTAAAGTTTTTGGTTCAATTAGAAGGTAATTACATACAATTAACAAAAATAATTGTTTCTTTTGTCTCAGATAAAAATTACAATCGTTACAGTGGAACAACTGCAGTAGTTTGGCACTATTTATTTGGCTCCATTTTTTAAACAAATAATCAATATTTTTTTATGAAAAAATTATTTTAAAGAGATAAAATATATAATAAAACATTCCTAAAATTTGAAAGTGATTGGTTTTATTCTAGCTGAGAAAAAAATTTCTAAAAATCGTACATTTTTCGACCTCCTAAACCAGATTCCTCCCTTAATTGACGATTGATATGAGCCAATCGCCCGCTCATTCGTTTGTTTCGTTTATTTCCACGTATACGCCTCGCATGCAAGCTCGAGCTGTGCACACAGGTTATCCGTGAATTGTTGTTGCAGTTATTTCAGGCAGTTTTGAAGCGATATGCAATATAAGTCCATCTTATGCTCGTTTGTCTCATCGCGTTCGACAAGATTCGTGATTCTTCATTGTCGTGATGAGATAATTGAAATTGCGATGACACATGTTGGAATGATTTTAGTTTATTGAAATAAGTATAGAAAGGGGACCTAGATATAGGGGAAATTATGTAAGAATGAATATATAGATAATGTGTAAGTGAAGGTGAAACAAGGCGTTAGGTAGGAAAGCAGAATTCAGGACGGAAAAAGTGTATACCCAGACAGCATACTGTCCAAAATCGGGTCATAAGACGGGTCTTTAAGATATCTTTAAGACAAGCTTATAAGCTATTGTCTTAAAGATGTCTTAAAGACGTCCTAAAGATATCTTACGACTCGATTTTGGACATTTGTGTCTGGGTAGGTATTAGAAGGTTATGGCATCATAAGGAACGGATAGTAGTTGAGGTAGCGTAGCTAATACCATTACTACGTCTATAAAAATGTTTCGTCTGCTTTTTGAAATATTTGATCAAACTTTTTGAAATGTCCAGTCAGAGCTTTCTTCGAAACATTTACAATAACCGGACTCTCTTTCTGTCTCTCTCGTCGGCTGGCATCGCGTTGATTCATATGCGTTCTTCGGATAGAATCGCGCCTACGTAGGTAAGTGGCACGAAATATAATATTCTGAGTATCATCACGAAGCAGCCGGGAGACTAAAGTCTCCCGCGCTTTTAAAATTTATGGTCTTCCTCTGATACAAATGTTCATTAAATCAATTGATATGTCCTGCGAGCCGGCTGTCAAAACGTGAATGTGCTCAATCTATTTGCAACTCGTTATAGTCACGCATTAATTAAGAAACATTTGATTGCGACTTGAATAATGCAAACTGCGACGAACACGTATGAGATAAACGAGAAAAAAGTACATTCTTCCGCATTTTACTTCTTTCTTTATGAAACGTGCCGAGCAAAAGGAAGAATGCGAGGAAAACACTTGACAAGCGATAATGCTTGATATCTCATCATTCAACTCGATTTGTCTTAATGTTAATTTAACTGAACGTCCTACCTGCTAGTGAAGCTTCACTGCAGGATTCGCGAGGCAAACAAGCAAATTTGGCAAACCAGAGCCGAAACCAGAAGGATTGGGCAATGAACAACATGTCGTGTATTTCCGTCTTCGTCGGAATCTAGCTAGCCTCCCGCGGAATTTATTTCTGCAATTTACCTCACAGCAAACTTATTAGCAGCGTCTTGTGGCCATTTTTTAGGCGCTTCTGACTTCATCGCGAGAAAAATGCGTTCGAATGGTAAGTAATCACTTTTTTGCTAATTATCGTGCTTAATTGGCGATTAATATGAGCCAAGCGCTTGTTCATTTGTTCGTTTCAGTTCCTGTCATTTCGTTTATTTCCACGTATACGCCTCGCATGCAACATTCGCAGCTCGAGCTGTGCACACGGATTATCCGTAAATTGTTTTTGCAGTAATTTCAGGTAGTTTTGAAGCGTTATGTGATATAAATCCATCTTATGCTCGTTTGTCTTATCACGTTCGATAAGATTCGTCCTTCATTGTCGTGACGGGATAATTGAAAATGCGATGACACATGTCGGAAACTTTCTGGATTTATTTCGAAAATTGAGATACAATGTCGAATGTCGATCAGTGCAGTGTCGAATGCTTTGATCAGGGTTGGGCACTGATCGATTCTCTTCGATTAAAATGATCGGCAGGTCGATCATTAATCAATTGTCATATATAAAATATTTCCGAAACAAAGTCATGAAGGGCGTGGCGACCAGCCAGAAACCAGGCCGATACCCTGATCGGATTGATTGGAATTTGATCGGAAATATCCGTTTGTTAATTTTTCCTATCGGATAATTCCTCTCAGTGTGCCCAACGCTGATTGTCGATATGCTAAATCGAGATATGACTGGGGTGCGCGCGGACCGAGCCTTTTCTTTCGAAACCAGAACTCGCGTAACGGCGACAGACCGCGCGCACGCAAGTAGAGATGTGCGAATCAAAGATTTTTTATGAATCGAATCCCGGATTTTAATTTTGAATTCGAATCGATGAAATTTCACCCGAATCGAATCGAATCGTTGAAAGAATTTTTAATTAACATAATCATTGAATTCAACATGAAAATAGTGACTTCAGTATGAGAGAGATAACATTGATCATATGATATCAATTCATTTTAGAGTAAGAAATATATATTTCAGTTCCAGTCTTAAAAGCTGCGCAACGACACATATCGATGCGACAGTCGTCGGTAAGAGTTTATCTAGAAGTCATTATCTTCTTTTAATATTTTTGAAAAAAATCTTAATGTATAGTAAACTTTTCAAATCATGCTAATTCCCGTAAAGCTGGATGTCTTTAATAGTACTTAGTTAATGCTAATGCGCGATCCGTATTCGAATGTTTTCGATTCGAAATTTTCGAATTATTCGGATTCGAATTCGATTAGTTCGCACATCTCTACACGCAAATTCTTCGGCGGACGTAACAGTGCGCGAGGACTAATTATGCGTACGCCATGCTTATCGACTCGTCCACGAAGTGAATCGTGACGAGCAATTCGGGCAGGAAAACGAGATCCCATGATCGCTCGCATAGTGCATGAATTTCGTGTTGGACCTCATCATGCTTGCAAGTCCTCTCTTTCGAGGAATATATTGGTGACATACAATTCTTAACGATGAGAGATTAGGAAAGCAGTCGGGACATTCGACTCGAGTCAATCGACGAGAGTTTAGAGCGCCGACGAGTTAATCCGGCAAGGACGCACGCTTCGAATAGACTTCGACAAGTCGTTCGTTTTATTGCCAACGCGTCGCGCGTCAAAAAAAACCAACTGTTCGTTTGCGTCTTCTTTTACCTTAGGCGTTTTTTCGTTTCGTGACCACGGTAGCATTTGGTTGATTAGTTTGGTCCACTTAACGCTCGCAACGCCTCGAGCAATGAAGATAGAATGACGCTCGCGGCGTTGCGAGGGTTAAGTGGACCAAACTAACCAATCAAACGCTACCGTGATCACGAAACAAAAAAACGCCTCTTTATTCTCATCTTTTTCTTCTGTTTTGTCGTTGCGTCACGATGTTGGAGCCTCCGCACAGGAATATCCGTAACATGTCACGATAACCGAGGAACAAACTTACGTGTGAACGCACAAAAAAGTTCGTAACGGAAGAAAGGACTTTCATAGCGGATTTCCTTGTGCGCTTCCAAGTCGAAATTTTGATCCTACTTTTAGCTTTACTGTTCCATTCAACATCTATCTTGATATTTTGAAACCTACGTTAACATCTTTTTATTCTATTTAGCCTACCCGAGTCGAAATTTCGATTCTACTTTCAGCCTCATTATTCCATTCAATACCTATTTTGATGAAAGTGAAAAGGGAAATTTCGGACATTATCAGAGTCAAAATAGAAGTAAATTGTATCGCTAGAATTGAACTTACTTTGCTAACTTAGCTTCTACTGCGTTGTAGAATTTAAGGTTTAACATAGAGCCAAAATTTCGACTCGGGTTGACATAAGTTTTTTCTTAACACATTGGCGTCGGGCCGCGCTTGACGTAGGAAGATTTCGCGTCTTTTCTTTCAATCGCGTTACGTTACATTAGGAAAAACTACTATAACTTTTTAGATAATTAATATTTTTCAAAGAAATTTTGAAGAAAGTAGCAAATTACTTTTTTACATCATAATTTACACTTTTTAACATGCAATTTTCAGAGGTTCTCAACACGCTTCGCGTGTTCTGGCGTGCACAAACTCCTAGCACTGTTGCAGAGGCCAAGAAAATACTAAGAGATTTTACTCCTGATTTGTCGAGGCACGATTGTTTTATCAAATGTAATGGGATGTATCTTATCGCTCTAACGTATATACACACAATTCCAGTGTCGATAATCACGAAATAGAACAAAAAGTTGAAAACTTATATAATTATTATAACTTATATAATTGTTATAACTTATATAATTTTAATTCGTGAAACATCTGTGATGACATTTATGAAGAGAAAGTGAATCATTTATAGTGCTTTATAAATTTATTATTTATGCTTTATAAATTTCTAAGACAGATATATAAAAATCCCAGTGACATTTTTTTGCGTCATCCGGACCCAAGAACTCAAACGTTTTTTTGCGTCAAAACCGGACCAAGATGACGCATCTAGAAGTCATCTGACGTCAATGCATTAAGTTAACGTGTTATGGACATTCCTGGGCGAAGGCTCTTAGCTAGGCGGGCGCGTTTCGTCTCTCCACTGTTTGCCAATAAAATTGGTCGATAGTCAGGTCCCATTTGGAGAAAGAGGGAGAGAGAGAGAGAGATACAGATATAGCAAATAACAGGCACAACGCAAGTAGCGGCTCGGACGAGTCTCACCCGGGCAGATCGTTGACTTACACATGGAAGAACGCGGAGGAACGATACGCACATTTATATTACATCTGGGTGTGTAGAGCAATATAGTAGCTATCGTGAATATCGTGAACCGTGTGCCGTGCCCTTCGCGAAAACGTTTCTTGTAAGGCACATGTTACTTTTTATCTCACGCGTTAAACGATACGCCGGTTAAGCACGCGAGAGGTATACACTGTTGTACACGCAGCGACATGTGTAATGACGATAACGGGAATGGCAATGACGCCAGCGAGACGAGATCTGTAATTGCACATAAGGGAAGAACTGATATCGCTAATCCGATCTGCTTCTTACGGTTATTTTTCTTCGATACGATTTCCCGAAGCTTTAAAGAGAGATCAAGGATTACGGAGACCTTCAGAAAGCGGATCGTGGAAAGGAGACGCTTGAGAGAAGGAGAGAGAGAGAAAGAGAGAGAGAGAGAGAGAGAGCGACAGACAGAAAGAAAGAGAGACACTTAATTGCTAGTAAACGTACAAAAAGACTGCACCAAGCTTGACCGTCCACTCGGCGTTGCTGCGGAGTGAATTTATTTAATTTCGAACTCGAGTCACGATCGAAATAACGTAATAAATCTTTAAAAAAATATTTATATATAAAAGATGTAGACATTAATTTCAAATATCACTGGCTGCTAACTTATCCGTTAAGTACTTGCGCAACTTAGTTCCTTAATCCCTTGACTGTGTGTCGAACATGAGATTTCCGTGGCACCGGCGTGTGAAAAAGTTTCTGCTTACATTTCCGCTACGATTTTAGTATTAAGGTTTTCAAGATCACTGAATCCGAATATGATATTAGAATTTCAAAATGGTGGACAAAAATATAAAAATCCAATTATTTTTCCAATTTCTGATCCGCCATTTTGAATTTTGAGACTCAGGTATCATATTTGTATTCAGCGAAAATTTTAATACAATCATTTTTATAAAAACCGAACTCTTGATTCGCCATATTGGAGCTACCATTTTGAATTTTGAGGTTCTCATGTTATATTCGGATTCAGAGAGCTCAGGAATTGTAAGATTCAAGATACCAAGCTTCGTACAAATCGCAAAAGGATAAATCGGTGTGCTTTAAGATGTATATATATGATACATACACACTCAAGGGGTTAAAGAGGCGTTATCCTTAAAAAAAAACGCTTTGCGCGTTGCGTCGTGGCGCATAAGAAGCGTCCTGCGTGTAGACGGCAGCAACATATAATTGTAAATTGAGAAATGATCCATGGTGTCCCCTCGAGGGGCTCAGAAAATATCTATCAAAATGACTCTCGGGCATGCAGGAAATGCGGTGGAGGAACACGCGGAGGAATCTCGCGCGCGGAGAGTCGAGAGAGGCGAGAGAAGCCCGCGATCTCTTGTGTGTCCGACGCGACGCGGAATTCTTCGCTGATTGCGCCGCGAATCGATCTCGCGCTAATTACGCGTGTATGTAAGGCTCGTGCGACGAATGATGATACGTGCTCCTCGACAAGCTCCACGCGTTCTCGAAACGCGTCTCGCTTATATTCAGCGGGAAAGAGTAATCAGAATACCAATCGCGATGGAAGATATCCTCCAGCTGTTGCCTGATATTGTTCTTAGTCTGTTGTCCGACGTTCTCGAACACGGTGCCGATGCCTGGAACAAGTAGTGAGTCTTTCAAAATTGAATCCACCGCATCTTCATCGGACAGATGACAATACGGCGTATCCGATGGATGTGTTTGATGGTATATTTTTAAGAATGCTTGTGATGAGTGGATTCAATCGAAATAATTCAATAAGTAATTCAATAAATACACTGAGGGAAAAATCACCTTAAAATCAACAAATATTTCTTTGATGGGTGCCATTAACATATTTACTTAAATATAAATTCTCTTTATTTAAATCAAATATTGCTTACCTGATTTAAGTAAACAATATTTGGTTTAAATAAAGAGAATTTAGATTTAAATAAATATGTTAACGGCACTCATCAAAGAAATATTAAGAAATATTTGAAATATTAAAAAATATTAAAAAATATTAAGAAATATTTGATTGAAAAATTGTTGATTTTAAAATAATTTTTCCCTCAGTATATGTATCGAAAATTAAAAATCTGAATATCTTAGCAAAATAGATCATACTAACAGTTTATTCCTGAACTATTAAAAATACAGTAAAAATAAAAAGAATCTATATGAAAAAAATTATAACATTCTCTTCGTATACAGGAAACATACAATGAAATTAAAAAGAATTTATATAAAAAAAAGGCACAATATATATTTTATACGTGCATTAGCGCCTTCCATTTTCGCGCGAAGCAACATCAAGATAACTCACCGGCCGTGTTGATGAAGTAATCGCCCGACCAATTGCTCGTACCAATGTAAGCTGCCACGTCGGTCACCATATACTTATTATGGTTCACCCTCGAGAACGGTATTCTGTCGAAGCGCGGATTCGTGGGCACGATGAACCGCTTCTGCAAGAAGATCTCGTGTCGGCGAATTCGTCAGCGAGATGCGCGTCCCACGTCCTTCACGAGGACGGATGACACGGATACTCACCACCTCGATTTTAACGTTCGCGTAGCTGGACGTCAAGTCCTGCAGCGACTTCAGGAAATACGTTTCGGACGGTCTCGAGTGCTTCCACCAGGAGATCAAGAGGCGCACCTCTATCTTACGCTCGATCGCCGCCGCCCTTAGGGCGTTGTCTATTATAGGCCAGTATCTACAAACGCACGTGCAGCCGCTTTTAATGCTTTTAACGCTTTTTCAATTACCGAAACGTGCAGAGGCAATGCCGAAGAGTATTCGCGACGCTGACGAAAATAGATACGGAGATACTTTGCGGCGCGATCGATTCTCCAGGCTTACATCAATTTCATGCGTGTACAATTTCTCTGAAAAAATTTCCCCTACATTTTCCGGGAGATTAAAGCTTTCCTCGACTAAAATGAATAAAATCACAAATAATTTCATCAATCGATGAAATGAATTATTAATGAATCTTTGATATGATTGATCATAACACTGATTAATAAATAACCTTATTAATCGACTAAATTATTCGTGATTATACATATCACGATTGGTCAATTTTGATTATTGATTTGCTGATCATTTCAGTCAAAGAAAATTTTAATCGACTAAAAGGATATCACTTGTAAGCTTTACTGACGAATTGCATTTGTAAGGCATGCTGAAGTCGAAATATTTATCGACAGAATGCTGAATTTTTCTGCGAAGTTTACGTCGTATATTGGCTGCACAGAATTACAAATACTTTTGCACAATAAAAATACGTGCGGAAATAAATTGGAGCACTGCTCAATGTATGACAAAAACGATAAAAAATTTCAAAATTGACATTTCGAGTGTAAAGTAGCCTGTCAACAAACACGTGATTACGTAATTGCGTTAATGACAATCGTCTCCATATTAAAATGGAGTTTATTGTCGACTCCAGCATCGCCTCGATGCCCGATTGCGCTTTGCGGTAGTCGTACTCACTTTACTTGCGCAGTATAGATGGTCAGCGGGAAGTAATCCATCACGGAGATATAAATGAACTTCTCCGCCTTGGCGATGCAGTGCAAGATCGCGTCTAGATCGTAACTCCTGCCTCTCGGCGAGAACGGCGGGGGTGAGCTCTGCAATCACGTATCGGTATTGTGTTTCTCACGTAGGGTTTTTCTCGTGCGAGTTAACGATCGACACGCTCCGTTATCGCGTCTACACTGATACTAACCGCGATGAATAGTCTGTACTTATTATCCATGTACGTAAAATTCATGGGATTATCTATGTTTATCTTTGTGCTGAGGGAATCCGGCCACGTGGAAGGCACTATACCGTCGTATCCTAACTTCCAGTACACCTGCGAAGTAAAACAAGGAGGAGTTCGACGTTGAACGCCACTTATCGTTGTTTTTGCGAATTTCCGCGTGGAGGCTTACGTCGAATATTTTGGCGTAATCTTTCGCTAAACACGAACAATTCAGAGCCATCAAACCGAGCTCCTTCACTTGCGAGAGTGATCGCCAGTCCATATTTGCCGAACCCACATATACGTGGGTGCGATCGATGAGCCACAGCTTGGTATGAAGTACACCGCCGCCCAGCAAGGCAGCAAAGTTCAAACTTCTCACCTGGATTTGGATGAAAGCACGCATATATTTCTCTCTGTACTTGGTATCTCATATTTATCAGTAGTTTCACAGCTTTCACATTAAAAAAAGAAAAATAATCTCATTCTTAGCGGATATCCTCTTTTTTTTATACGAAATATCTGACAAGTCATGATACACCCGTTGTGTAATAACTCAGAATTTTACATGACTATCTACGAATTTTGTATTCCATTTTGATGAGTTCCATCTGCCCACAACAGATGTGTCAATAATTGTCAGATATCCTACGTATGGCCTCTCTAAGATAGATTCTTCTGGAAGCAAAAGAAAACATTTCAATACCGAAAAAGACTCTGCTTGCAAATCTGGTTGGATTCTTGTGATTCCATATCTCAAGCGAAAACTCTTATCGAAAGAGTATTCTTCGGTAAGAAGAATACTCGAACATTCTTTCGAGTATTGAAGAGAACTATCACAATCAGAAATCTACAAAATATTATCCTAACTTGTTTTCCTTTGAATCAAGAGGAATATGTTTGCTTGAAGCAGGATGTCATCTTGTTAGAAAAAATTTCTATTAAAAACAAGACTGGTATTACAGATAAAAGACGGCATTCCTTCAGAATATTCCGCTTAGAGTATTTTCCTCTTGGTTTCCGAGGAATCCTCTTTGAGGCTACATACAAGAGAATTCCTTTAAAAGCAGAATTCTAATTTTTCGAATACATCAGATAACATAGTATATTTTCTAATCGATCACTCGTCAAAATTCTACCTCTCGTTTGTCTGTAGGGAAATAAATCATCCCTAATTTCGCGATAAGATCTCACCGTCGATCGGGCTGTGCCCGAAACATAAAGAGTCTATCGCGAGGATCGTGCGACAAGAGCCGGGAACGCGTCCATATTATGTTGATATCAGCATGATATCGCGAGTACATTACCTGCGCGTTAGCCTTCTTAGCCAAAATTACTGTGTCGGTGCTCGGCGACAGGCGGGAGGGCATGTTCTGCACTATTTTGAGCTTAATATACCTGTCCCTTCCAGCCTCTAGGAGCGATTGGAACACTTGCTCACCCTGCGGCGTATTGATTTTTGTTAACCGAATATACACATCACACATGTATATACGGATCAGCAGGAGGCCGTCCGCGTTCCACGAGGCTGTCGCGATTCCGCTCCTCTCCGCGACAACATCCTCGCGGCCACGTCGACGGCGGCTCTGTGTTGGATTTCTGTAACTCGTTATTGAACGTTAACGACAGTTTCGTTATCGTTGCGTATCTTTTGTATATTATAAAAAAGTTGCGATAACGAAACTGTCGTTGACTCCAATAACGAGTTAACAGAATCCCAACACCGGAAGCAAAAGGGAAGACACTCATCTCATCTGTCTCCTGCGCTACTTGCCTCCTTGGCGCTGTCATCGGGGAACACGTCTTCCCTTTTCATCGTCCAATAGAGCGATGCGATCTCGATCGTGTCTTGCGCCATCCCGATCAGATCCATCCAGGAGTCGTGAGTGGCCTCGTGCCAGGGCGCGTTATCGCTGTAATTCATGCCCAACGGTATCGTCTCCACCAAGGACACCGTGCAACGGTCCATGCACGTGGACTCCGCGTCGAACGCGCTCGCGTTCAGCGCATACTTGTCCGCCGCGTGGTCCAGCAGCGGCAGCAGCACCACCAGGACGATCAAGATCAGTATGATCGTGATTGGTATGCAGCTGGGCCTGCACCAGCCCTGCGCGCCCCATCTGGTACACAGGAATAATGCAACGCTTATCACGCGATCGTCGCGATAACACTGTCCTAACATTGTCCTAACATTGCGACGCGGCGTCCTTCGAAGTGGACAAGCGTTCACCTCGAGCGACACGCTCGCCATTTTCATCCCGTGCGAAATCGCCATCGGATACCGCCGTATGCGAGCGAAACTCGCGTGCACGAGATAATGACTTATTCTGCGGCTGTTTCGCGCTCCTGGTCGAGTTAGAATATAATTTAGCGACCATTTATGCCATTTGGGGGAAGAAATTTTTGATGGCATATTTTTAAAAACGTTTGATGAATGGATTTAATAATAAGTAAAACAAAAGTATAAACAAAAGTGTAGCAAAACCATATTTTAAAATCTATATCTTAATACTATAGCGCTATTTTTTATATAAAGTTATCAATTTTTATGTGTTTTACACACACATTTAATGAATAATAACTCTGTATCACTGTCACTGTCGTTAGTTGTTAAAGAAGTTAGTTGTTAATGAAGTGTCAAGAGAAGAACTAAAAGAAGATTTATCTTTACATATTTTTTAAATTAAATTATAATTTAGTAGTGATTTTCTATGTGTTTTTCCAGTAATCACACATTAATATGTTTAGGTTAGGAGATTATCTCTACCATATTCACTCAGAAATTTTTTTTGGGTGGAGAAATTCTTCCACTACAAAATGAAGAATGATTATCAGAGAAATGATTATCGGAAGTGACTTTCGCGCACGATTAAGCGAAAGTTCATGTACTTAAAAAATGATAAATAATATGATCAAAATTCCCAATATTAATATCTTTACTTATTTCTTAGAAAAAAAAAATCATAAAAACCTCCTATTTCTTTGGCTGTCTAATAAACCAGAACTCCCTCTCAAAAAGGGTCGAGAACTCGAACGTCTATTCATCCTAACCGGATCGTGGCATGCGAGATACTTCGTTCACTGCTACTAACGTCTAAATCGAAGTTACATACTTTGCGTTCGTGAGGGGGTCGTCCACATCGGTCCTCAACATAAATCCCGACTGGTCCCATAACTCCAAGTCGTCGTCGCCGCTCGGGGAGTTCACGTCCAACCGTGCGTTTTCGGACACGGTCTGCAAACAGCGTGTGTCACGCGCCACGGTTGTATATTTGCGAAAACCCGGTAAGAGGTACATAATATGTGATATCAGGGACAGAGTCACCGACGATGAGGGATAACAGTCTACGAGGACGAGCGCGAGAGAGGCTTCGCGAGGTATATAGTTCGTGCTTTATCGCGCACTGAACGAGACGACAGTAATCGTAAGCTGCTGACGCTGGTGAAACTGGATATCAGATAGATCCGTGTCATTGATTCGTATTACAATAACTTCAGCCTCGAAAGCGCGATTAACGATGCGTTTTTTAACTCAGCATAAATCCATCGCATTTTCATCGGATAAATGACAATACGACGTTTCCAATTTATGTTTGATGGCATATTTTTAAAAACGTTTGATGAATGGATTTAATAATAAGTAAAACAAAAGTATAAACAAAAGTGTAGCAAAATCATATTTTAAAATCTATATCTTAATACTATAGCGCTATTTTTTATATAAAGTTATCAATTTTTATGTGTTTTACACACACATTTAATGAATAATAACTCTGTATCACTGTCACTGTCGTTAGTTGTTAAAGAAGTTAGTTGTTAATGAAGTGTCAAGAGAAGAACTAAAAGAAGATTTATCTTTACATATTTTTTAAATTAAATTATAATTTAGTAGTGATTTTCTATGTGTTTTTCCAGTAATCACACATTAATATGTTTAGGTTAGGAGATTATCTCTACCATATTCACTCAGAAATTTTATCAATCCATCGTTAAAGTGAGTCGATGGATCTGATAGATATGTGATGACTTCAACACTGCAAGAACGCATTGGTGTAATTCATTGATGAATAAAAGAATTCATGCGATAGATCAATCGATGAATTAAAAAAAACTCTTCTTATCATGACAAAGACGTGCAAAATGTGAATTTTATCTTATTGGCATGATAAACAGTTCTTGAACGTAGACTTTGTTTCGCTTTGTTTCGGACACGTGACGGGGAAATCGATGAACTCGTGACTCATTAGAGAAGTCAACAAGGTCGGCGCACATACATCGATATTCTTATCAAATGGGATAAAATGATGTGACACCCAAAACGGTGAGATAATTTTTTATCACCAAACGAGAATCCGTGCTTCTCTCTCTTTTCCTCTTTTCCTCTCTCTCCTCTCGTGGTTCGCGCCAAAGGAGACGGTGTAGAGTTGTAATGATCGCGCAGCATGATGAGATTGATTTCTTTATCAGAGGAATAATATACGATAGTGAATACGTTAATGAAAATTGGACCAGGTCTATGAGCGAGAGGTTCGCTTTGCAAACAAAATCCACGTGAAACTTGCGGATGTGAATGACGGCGCAGCTTTGCCTCTCGCGCTGCGTGAACTTAACGCGAACTTTGCGCGACAGCAAAGCGCGAGGAGGAGGCGGAGTAACGGACGTACCGACAATTTGTGCTTGAGTCGTGGCGTTCTGTTCTTGCGGTGTGGCAGCAACACCACCACATCCTGGTCCTTCTCCCGTGGCTCCGCGTATTTCGGGTACGCCTTGGCAGTGGTGGCCCCCTTCGTCGTCGTCGACGACGAAGTGGCCGTAACGGTGGAGCCGCCACCGGCAGTGGAATACTTCGAATACGCGATGTTGTTGACATTGTTGCTGCCGCCGTAGGAAACGTTGTGCGTGTTGTTCACCTCGACAGAAAAAAAGCCACGCGATGTTTCTTTCGTCGATCAGCGGGATTGAGAGCACGCGGAGTAGATTATCTCGGATAGAGACCGGAAAGAGATGTTATTTTAATGTCGAGCCATGACGCAACGCTTTTTCTCGCGACTCTGAGAGATCGAGAGCACAAGAAGCCTTTCTCTAGCCAATTATGAAGGAGGCGCAAGGGTAACACACGCACAAGATCGTATTTTGCGGCTGACTTGCTGAACAGGTTTCAGTTTCCGCGCGCGCCTTAGGAATTAATTTCCAAACCTGGCGAGATTTTTTGCCAGTATGTGCAAAGATGAGCGTCGACGAGATACGAAGGGAGAGCAAGAGAGACGGCTGTGGCGTATCACCGCTGAGAAAAGTGAAAAGGATTTCGCCGCCTGAGAAAACGAGCGTACACAAGAAAACAGACGTTCGTGAGAGTCGATTAAAATTACGGTACACGCGCCACTGTGCCCGTTAATCAACTCGTTAATCCAAATGCTGCTGTTATACGTTTCGCGAATTACGTGAGTCGAACGCAAAGGCATAAAACGCGCGGGTCGCGTGGCTACAGAGCGGTTCAAATTATACTTGGCCCCTTTGTTCGACAAATTATCGCAGGTGATCTCGTACTGTTTGCGGATTTTCACTTTATCGCGATGCTATCTTATATAGCTAAGGCTCTTCCGTATCTCCAGGAAAAAGATGCGTCCAAAAATATTGATTTTCAACAATGTTATGTGGTAGCTGAAAGTTGCCCGGATCTGATAGACTCAGACTGTACTGTATGTTTTTTTCTTACTGTAGAGAAATAATTACTATAAATTATATGGCAAAAAAATCAGTTTTTTTCACTAAATTCTACTATAATTAGTTATTGAACTTGTAATGTATGTCACTACCACCATCAGAACAATTAAGGAATATGATTGCGGCCATAAATAACTCTAGTTGGATCAATCATCTTTTTCTCTCAGTGTAGAGTCCACTCCGATGAAAAGTGGCGGTATTTTCATGGTCGCTTCGAGTGAAATAAATTAATTGCGTATCTTATTATTATATTAATAAAGTTTTTATACCGTACTTTTAAAAAGTAATTTTATCTTTCTATTATTATATTAATTACGTATTATAAGAAAGTAACGAATCGTTACTTTCTTAATAACGCTAACAAGCTACTTTGTAAAATTGGTAAAAAGTAAGGAGTTACAAGAAGGAACGCGTTAGTTCCTTCTTAAGTAACGTTCCCAACTCTGCTGATTCCATTTTAAGGAATTTAGGAAGAGAAGAGAAATGAAAAGAAAGAATCATCTTATCATTATTTTATCAGCTGTATTGTCTCGCTGTGACTATAGTCGAGCGCGGCATTGACGGCCGCGTGGCGACGCGCAGATCGACTCACCTGCACCAGGATATGGCAGGCCTGCGACGCGATTTGGAATAGGCCGTCCTGCAGGTTACGGCCGGTGTGCTCGGAGCCGCCGCCACTGTCGCCGCCACCGCCCGTTTTCCGTCCAAAAAACGACATTTCGATCGCATCTGACACACCCGCGCTTTAATGCATCGAGGTCGTCGCGAATCGTCGTCGCTGGTGCTCGTCGATCGTGCTTGCGCGCTGCGTGCGCGGGCCGACGTCGTCGACGTCGTCGTTTCCGTTGTCCGACTTCAGCACCATACTCGACGTTCGCATCGATATCTGTCGACGGGCACAAATGTCATCTGTCTTATGACCGCGCGGCACGTGTGCGCGACGTTGAGTCCGCCGCGTTTAAAGTTTAACGTGAATGCGCCCGTCCACCAGAGAGAGAGAGAGAGAGAGAGAGAGGGAGAGGCGGAGATAAACGCTCACTGCGAAAGTTCCGCGATATTACAATAATAACGTATGACGACGTTCTAATTTTATCGTTCTCCAGTCTGCGACGTTGAAACCGATTTAGAACGGTAAAGGAAAACTTGCGGGCGCGAAGGGTGGGTGCTGCGCGCCCCTATCATTCAGGAGTATTCCAGTCAACGGAGGAATACTCGATCTCCTCTCTACTCGTGCGTTTTGCTTCTTAAAATATTGCAGCAAAAATTACGTTAAAATTACATTTCCTTTTACTTTTTTTCTTTGGCAAGCTGGATTATTACTGAAATTGCAGTACATATTTTATTATTATTATAAAAATAGTAAATTTGACAATCTACCGAATATACGATATAAAAAATACTCGAATAATTTCTCTCTCTTCATATGGCCCAAGATTGCAAAAATGTATTATAATTTTTACCACAATATTTTCCCCGTACAGAACTACTGGCGATTAATAATTCCTTTCTGTCAGAGTTATCAAAATGACAAGCTTTCGGAAAGGCAAGATAAGGCAAGGGAGAAGTACATTTCCTTTCTCAGTTTTACTCAACGTCAATTTAAGACATAAAACATACCGTTATAAATGAGTAATATTTACTACAAACCCGTTATTTTGACTGCTTTGATCCTGAGTCAATATTTTAATCCTACTTGCGACCTCGACGTTCTATTTAACATCTCTGCTTTGATACGCTGAAGCTTATATTAATCTCTGATTCAAGTATGAATCTTTGATTCAAGTTACCAGCTTTGCCAAGAAGTCCTCTTTAGAACCTACAAGTGGGATTCTGTGTGTTTCCTGCCGTTTAGAGACACTAAGCAGAACTGAACTCAACTCGGGATAGTTTCGATATTAAAGCACTCGTCTGAATGTCTCGCGTGCATCTTCTCCCGTCATTTGCCGAATCCACTGACGTTTTGCAAAACTGACCGAGCTGAAAGATCGAAAGAAGAAGAGATGCTCTTCGTAACGAGGAAGTGCCCGAGGAATTCTCTCGCTGAGGGACTTCCCTGATCCCGCTCTGACGGATTAACGAGCCACCCCGTGTGACGCATCGCGAGCGGGAAAACCGTCGCGTGCCGTCAGTATGCTGATTTCCATTCCGACCTCGGGGCGTCACAGGTAGAGGAGACCAGGAGTACCTAGGCGTCTCGTAACCGCGACACTTTCGTCCGCAGCACGTCGTTTGACTTAATTCGCCTTAACCCCGTTTCCATCTCCGTCTCGCGGCTTGAGCAATCGAATTCGCGCTCTCACGTCGTATATCGCGCATACGGACGAGATCGATAAGGAGAGGATGATCGCGCCTCTTAGGCGGACACACGCTCGCGTTATCCTCCCGTGCAATAAAAACTGGCTCGTGTTAACCGACCGCTGGATTCGCCAATTCGCGGATCTATTTGAAACGCGCGTTTCGCGGGGTGACGCGCCCGCGCACTTCTGTTCCCTCCCTTTCTCCCCCTCTCTCTCTCTCTCTCTCTCTCTCTCTCTCTCTTTCTCTGTTTATGTCTCTGCCTCTATTAAGAGAGTATTCTGGCTTGATGGGTCTCAAAAAGGTACTTTTTCCGGAATTTCTCTGTAGGGAAAGGATAACGACAAACTTTACATATTCTTTCAGCCTTATTTTAAAAATATATGTTTTCATTGTCCAAGAATGCTCAGTGACAAAAACGCTTTTATTTTGTTATATCCTGGTTAGAAGCTTGCAAAAAAACACGTATACGTGCGCGTGCGAACGGTGTAAGCAATTCTAGCTCCTCTAGATATCTGAAACGCAAAAACAAGTTTTCTTATTCAGGGGAAGTGTAGCTTTCTGAATTAGAACAAATACTATACATTTATTATTATTATTTTTTAAATAAAATACTAATATTTTGAGGAGAAACTAAAAATTTTAAGTAAAAAGATTGCCATTTTGTTCAAAATGTAATGTAGGTTTAGTTCTAGTTTGGACGGTAATCACACTTCTACTGAATAAGAAAATGTTTGGCTTTGACGTTTTAGACTTGTATTAATAGTCGTTGCTTAAAACTTGCCTCAAGTGAAGCATTCATATTTCAACTTAGAGTTAAATATGAGTTTTTCGGTGGAATCGCGATTGCAAGTGTAATATCATGTATATCATGTGTTTCAACAGGAAAACTCAAATCCAAGTATCTCACGTGGCTTTAGATACCTAAAGGATTTAGATAATAAAAACATATACCTAAAATAAGATTAAAAGAATATGCAAAATTTCGCATTATTCGCATTTCTCTAGAAGAAATCCCGAAATGTTTCCCTTTCCCGCGACTTTTTTCAGACCAGAATATCCTCTCAATTCTCCCTGTGTTTCTCCCCGTTCATGAGGATCAATTCGATCGGCCCGTCGCCGACGGAACGACTGATGACGACGTTCGCGTTGGGCTGTGCGAGTGACAAACACTTTGCCCAGCCGAGAAAGGACGATCGAAATGTCTCGCATGCCACGCGAGGCACCTGCGCAGAGAGCGTCCTCGTGGCCTCGATAACACCCCCGATTGATAAAAGGACGCGATTAGCCTTCCCGTCCGCAAGCTATCGCCAAGATCATCGGTGGAGATGTCCGTGTGTTTTTTTCCCCATTCTTTCTCTCTTTTTCCACTGATGATTTTTTTTCGATGTGAACGCACCGTGGCATTTAAGAATGCAAATTCATCGATCCCTTTCGCGGCGTACAATAAAACTGGCGACGAAGCTTCCAACGTGCTTCCACGATAACACGCATTTATTTTCCCTTCACTTTGGGCGTATAAATAAAGTCGCACGCAGGAAATGACGCGAGATACGACGTATATACATTACGAGCCGCAGCAACAATGCGACGTACCTATACATGCTTCGCGTGTGCTCGACATATTGAATCGTGTTGCATTTTATCGCGGCTTGAACGAGCGGACGGAGCGAACGTCCTGCCGAGATCCGACTCACTTCCGGATTCGAATTGCAAAGTGAGCATACTCACGTACTCGCGAGTTGCGCTTCACCCGTGAGTAACCGCGTCCTAAAGTTCGACTTGCAGCGGACACCCGAGGGGGGAGAATGCACGGCTCGCGAGGAGCGTCACGCCGATGCACACTATCCAGTTGTCATCTGGCCGGGGAACTCGTCACGAGATAGGGTTAACCGACTTCGCACACGCCGTGCAACTGGTGCGTCGCCGATGATCACGAGGCGACGCGGGAGTCTCGACAACAAGCCGACACCAGTCCAGTGATACCGCGGTATCACATGTAGGCGCGATGATCAAGCAGTTATGCACAATGTATACAAGAGTTCGCTCGTGGTGTCCCGCCAAGGGACACGGGTCGCCTCGCGACTTTTCGTCCGCGGGGCTGTCGACGACGACCGGGAGGCGCGAACCACCGAGACGAGACGAGACGAGGGCAGATCACGTGTCGCTCCGCCAGGTGAAGAAGAGTACGCGGGTTCCCGGACGAGAACACTTTTCCGTCGACCCGTCCACGACTGTTCGACCTGACGCGGTGGGTCGCGAGAGAAACGCGTCCCGCCGTGTCCGCTCGCTGGTTGCGCGCGCGCCGGGCATCCCCCGGGTCGACGCGAATCCAGCGAGAGTGAAATATCCCGTCGATACACGCCCTCGTTATCGATCACGTCGGGATATCCCGGCCGACAGGCCCCTCGCACGTGGTTCTCGCGCGTCTTGCGAGTCCTCCGCCGCAGGACGAGAAATTGTGGCGGCGGGGTCGAGTGAAATTTCGAGAAAGGTCACGTCCCGACATTTCAGCCGATTCCGATGCTTCTTTTACGAGAGCTAATGAAAAGGACGATTCTCATTTCAGACATGAAGAAGTTAAGATGCATTTTTTTTCAATCAAATAGGTAACTCATTTTTTTCGTATCTCGCTTAATTTAACATCAGACATAGATATTTATACTGAAACTAAATATTCAAACTCCGAATGCAAACTATTGAATTAAATAAGACATAAAGAATTAATATAATGTTATCAATGTTTTATTAATGATAAAAGTTCCCGAAGTAACAAATTTTGTGCTTCCACATCTATTTTATTATTTGATTGAAAAAAGTTTCCAATTTTATGTCCGATTCAGAGAAAAGGAATTCACATTTTTGTCTTTTGCTTCCTTTTCTCCGAATCGGACATAAAGTTAGAAACTTCTTTCAATCAAATGATGAAACCGAATGATGAAACCGAATGTTTGCATTCGGAGTTTAAATATTTAGTTTCAGTATATAAATATCTGTGTCTGATGTTAAATTAAGCGAGATATGAGAAAAATAAGTTACCTATTTGATTGAAAAAAAATTTATCTTAACTTCTTCATGTCTGAAATGAGAAAGAAGAATGGAAGTAACAGACAAAAATCGACAAATTTGTTTTAAATTTTATCAACTTTTGTTAAAAAGAAAAAAAGATTGAAATCGGTTTAAATTTTAAAGTTATAGTCTTTTTTTTGAGACATGAAATTTCATTTCACTTCACTGTGCGTCAAGGGTTGCGTGTCGGTTTCATGGACGGGGGTGGATAAGCGAATTCCAGGACGCGCGAGGTCCTCGAGGACCGTTCGGGGTTGCTGTGGAAGCACCCGAGTTTATTATTATCGATTCTCAGATTATTCAGAGGCGATTCCCGCGAAAGTGAAACTTTGTGCGCGGGCGAGTTTTCTCTTGCGTATATTACGAATTATTTCCACGAAAAGAAGCCTTGTTCGCCGTGCTCGCCTACAGTATATAGACATGCACATCCTATACATGGATGTATACTCGACCTTTGTATCCGGGATTATCGATCATCGAGAACAGGATGACTTTTCACCGAGCGGCCTTTAATTATCCTTCGTTCGATTTGCGGTCGTGCGTTCTGAAAACGGAGCACACGCCGTTTGCCTCGTCATTCTGAGCTATTCTCGTTATTTCATACTCAAAATGGCGAAATAAGTCGTCCAGTTTCACCGCGAAACCCGCTCAATGTTCACTGAATTTCTTCAAACGGGTTATGTATTAAAACAAGAATTAAACGATTCATTCAGAATTGGATGTTTACGCGTCAAGTATGATACTCCACGTCTACGTGTAGACAACGTAAATTATGCATGAGATGTCATCTATGTAGGCAATGAATAATCTATGAATGTCGTTTAAAGAACATGTGGTATGCATCAAAATTAATTAGGACTATGTTTTTATATATTTATATATTAATTAGGACTATGTTTTATATATTTTTATTTATCCTTTAGAATCGTGATGTAAATTTACGAAGAATTTATGAATCTATGAAGAATTTATGAATTTATGAACATTGTTAAACAAGTTAGAGTCCACAGAATTCTCTGGTTACGTTCTCACCTACAGAGAGATAAATCTATTAATCTGCCACATAATGAAATGAAAATTTTATGCGACTTTTTAACTCTTTTGAGAACATTACAATTATAAATAATACCAAAAACAGATGACTATCTTATTAATCTAATTTTTTGTGTATTTTAATATTATTTATAATATTCTACACTGAAAGAAAAAGAATCTAAAAAATAATAAATATTAATTGATGAGAGTAGAGTAATAATATATTCACTTAAGTCTAAATTTTTCAAATTTAAATGGAATAAATAATTGCTTTCTCGTGAAAGGCTGAGCTTCTCTTAAAATTTAAAACAAATATATATATTTTCTTACTTGCAAAATATTTTATATTAATATAAATGAATATATTATTAGTATTCTCATCGCGCAAATAAATATTTATGATTTCTTAGATATTTCTTCTTTCAATGTACATTATTTACATTGTCTACACTACTCTAAAAAATAACTTCGCACACATCACGCGGAGAATACGCGAACAATCTGTAAACGTAATTTTAGACTTTACGACGCAATTCTAAGGCCTGTTCTTTTTCGAAGAACTTTACGAACTAGTGCGCAGAGGTGCAATAAATTAGAGTGCAACAAGTATATTTAGTTTCACTTTGACTTACTACCCAGTGCACCAGTACGGTTCAGGGAGTTCTTCGAAGAAAAACAGATCCCTGAATTCACGTTTTCCTAGGTCTCTCAACGGCGTGCGATAATTACGCGATAAGAATAGCCGTTCGATAATCATGCATGACTGTTCGACATAATTACACCATTTACAAAATGAAACTTTTCTCCAGATAAACTTAAATGCATGCTTTACGATTTTTCACATCGGTCTTGAAGCAAGTGTAAGATATTTGCATTCCAATCACAAAGACGAAGCGTACATCAAGCTCGCCCATTCGCGCATTCCGTCTTTTGTTCGAATTAAATTCGAGAAGGAAACCCGACTATCGAGCTTTCTTTCCCGTCGAACCGGTGCAGCCTCGAGTTGCTCTCCGAGATTTTTCCCCTCGCTTCCTCGCGTACGCAAAGACGCAGCACGTGTCGCGCTTTCACGGCGCACACGCACCGCCGACTTCCGAAAGCGCGTGGCGTCGACCTTGCCGCACGCAAATCACCCACGCTCATACGTACCCGCTCTCGTTCGCCGGGGCGCTCATTTTGTCGGCGTGACGCGCGCCGCGGTTGTTTTATTCTCACAGATAAAACTCGCAAAACGCACAAGTGGACACGCGTTTTTTTTATCGAACACACGCCGTCGCGGTGTTCGATTTGGCTCGAGCACACTATCGATGTGAATCATGACGTGGCGTCCCCTCTCGCGACATAAATAATTGTGCGCTACACGCCGAGATGGCAGCACCGTGCAACAGATCAGCGCGCCACTCGCTGCCGACGATCGTCTTTACGTACAGTCGGTGTGTTGGTGCGACCAGCCAAAGCCTATTCTTGAAATAGTTGCGTATATGTAAGTTTTATTGCTCAGGTTTAATCATGCTATAAAATAGCTAAGCAATGAAAATTACATATGCGCAAAAATTTCAAGAATAGGAGCCCAGAAACCTGAGAACCGCCAGCTTGATTTTAATGATTAGAGCTAGGTGCATTTTCGAGACACCATCTAATAAAGTGCGCCTTTACTACGTTCGTTCGGCGCATTTTCGCGGTGGTAACGATAAAATACGCCTGGTTCGTGCTTCCGTACGGTGATAGTAAGTTAGAAAAGAACAGACGTCCAATCGCTCTGTTCTTGTCTCACCACTGATGAGCGGACCGCGCGACGTAGGCACGAAGCGGCGAAATTGTCGCAAGATCATCTTTCATCAGTCTTGTCTTTCTCGCGCCGCGTTCTGCGTAATTTTGTAAGAAAAAAGGATTTGGAAACTGGACAATATGAAACAATAAATATACAAGTTTAAACATGCCTCTCATTTTTTTTGCTTATTTCTCGGCAACCACAAAAGATATCGATGTGATTCAAAGAAAACAATGTTCTCCACAATTTATCCTGTTGGACTTCAGAGTTTACGATAATACTAATAATACTAATACTAAAATATACTATTAATAACGGTTCGTTAAGCCGTGGAAGCGTGCGTACTTTTCAACGTCGCTGACAGCCATTTTACTATCGATTGTATTTTTCGGGCATTTCTTCGCAACCAATAAAGATATCAAGGTGACACAAAGAGCATTATTTGCTTATTGGAATTGCTAATTTGCAATAATACGGAATAATATCGGAGACCAAACAACTCGGCTTAATAGTTTAGCAGAGACTCCTAACACATCGGTACGAATTTCGGCTTCATTTAGCGGAAAAATTTGATGAGATATGGTGAGATATAATGGGGAGAGTCCTGATTGACCACGGAACGATTGGACGCTACCAACCGGTGCAAACAATTATCTAGTGAATTACCAGATGGAAGCAATTATTATAATCTGGATTCAATCGTACCGTGGTCAATCGAGTCACACACGATATAATGGATTTAACGTTAAGAACGCGACTTTGGGATATTGGCAAATTATTTTCAACATTCTGAATGTGCTACTGAGGGAGTAGAGTGACACTAGCACACATTATCAAAATTTGTTTATTCAAAATTGAAGTTTGGGAAACGCGAAAATACTTTAAAAGACTGTGAAAAATTACTCTAGAATGTGCTCTACATGTTATATTTATTGTTTTATATTGTCTAGTTTCCAAATCTTTTTTCCTTGCAAAATTACGCAGTACGCAGCGCGAGAAAGACAAGATTGATGAGAGATGATCTAGTTTTGCGATAATAGCCTGTATTCTGAGTTCTCTTTTAATGATAAATGAGCCTCTAAAAGTGGCTTATGAGCTTTCTGATTCGCTATGAGTCACTTTTAGAAGCTCATTTATCGTTAAAAGAAAACTTGGAATATTGACTAATATCGCCGCTAGCTCACTTCGTGCCTACGTCGCTCATCAGTGGTGAGACAAGAATAGAACGATTGGCGTCTGTCCTTTTCTAACTTACTATCATCGTACGGAAGTACAACGGACACGAACCAGGCGCATTTTATCGTTACCACTGCGAGAATGCGCCTAACAAACGTAGTAAAGGCGCACATTGTTAGATGGCGTCTCGAAAATGCGCCTAACTCTGGCTGTTGAAATCGGGTGGCCGCTCTCATGCTTCTCTTTGGTGTGATCAGTCGCTCTTCAATTTCCAGCAGTGAAATCGAAAGCGACCTTCACACGAGATGCATTTTTCCTTATCGAGCACTTTGGACGTCGCCTCCTGGTGAGATACGTTACGTTGCGAAATTGCACGTCGGACCTGCGCAGTCGCCACGGCGGGTATTTCGTATTCACTCTGAGCGTCGAATCTATGCGAAATTCAACTTTGCAGTCGATGTATCGCGAATACGAGAAATTCGAGGGACTTGTTTGTCGCCCTCGCAGTCAACAGAGAGCCGTTTAGGTCCTGTTGTACCAACTGAGTAATGAGCTAATAATAAGAACGTATGTCTGTCTTTCCTTACGTTGAAGGAAGAACAAAGGCAGACATATGATTTAACTATGAGGTTCAATTGCGTAAATCGAGTGATAAGCTATAACTGAAACTGATTTTAACATAGTTAAAAATGTGTTTATCTAAAATATGTGTTTGTCTTCGTTTATTTTGAATAAGACATAAGTATTTATGATTTAATTAATTTATTGTTAGTTAACTCATTTCAACTTATTCGGTTGGTATAACTGGGCCTTAGCTTACCACTCACATATAGCATCAAAATCGATGTCATTATTACTCAAATATATAATAATGTTGCTATAATACCTCAATAAATTTTAGATCTTTCTACATGGGGACACAATTCGTAGTAATTTTCTGTATCGAGGAGTAGCGCGTTACTAAAATGTTAGTTTATGTTGGTAAAATAATTACATTCTTATAGATATTGAAACGATAACAATTTAATTACAAGGCAACGTTAAATTGACCAAGAAAACGTTAAAAATGTTCGAAGTTCATTTCAAGTTCCGGAAGTAACATTTTAAGATCATGATAACGTTGCTACCATTTTTAGCAACGTAATTAGAAGCTTCTTAAATTGAATGTCGGTGTAAGACTTGGTCTATTGGAAATATTTTAATTAAAGAAACACTTTTGGTATAAAAAAGTTAAAGTATATAAACAAACAATTTTTATTTCTTAATCCTCTTACTGCTCACATCAAGCTTACTCCATATATCGTAGACCAAGTCTTATATTTTCATGCAATGTGTGGTCACTCGGTTGGTGCAACCGGCATAGCTCTTGGGGAATTTACAAGGAAGGCAAACATCACTATATAACCAGTACTGAAATAGTTGCATCGCGGACTCACGAATAGAGCTAGGCCTAGGCTTCTTAGTCAACGTCAAGAAGAAGAGGAAGACTTTTCGTCGCGTATACTTGGTTTCGAGGAACGGAGAAGTGTTCGAGCGTCACGCATGGCCGCGCTCGCCGGCTCGCAGAGCCATCTATCGACACGGCGCTTCCGTGAGCGCACGTCGGACGCCGCCATTGTTACTGTGCCTCGGCCGCGCCGCACCGTCGCCGGAGAGACGACGCACGGGCGTACGTCGTGGTGTCACCGAACGCGTCTCGCGCGAGATCACCGGAGCAAGTCGACGTGTCGTCATCGCCATCGTCGTCATCGTGTCAGCGTCGTGGTCGCGTCCGCTGCGCTCGCCTCGAGACCATCTCGCTGCGTTTCGCTCGGTACGTCTCGGCGCCGTCGAGGCTCGTCGAGAGGGTGGGAGCGAACGAGTGAGCGAGAGAGACAGAGAGTGAAAGGGGGAGAGAGAGAGATAGAGAAAGGAAGAGCGAAGCGCCCTGGCCACTCGCAAAGGATCGCCCTGCTCGACGTTCCCTTCTGTCCGTGTCACCGTTCTGCCCGCGTCGAGGCCAACGACGACCGCGCGGCGTCCCGACCGATGCCCCGTCGACGGATTCAAGCCGGTGGTGCGGCCGTGTTGTGCAACGTACGGTGTTAGTGCATCATGTGATTGCTTCTGCACCAGGGTACTCTCTTGGCCACGGTGACGGATACTAACGCGTGAAGGTTAGTCGCGACTTCGCTTTTCCCCTTACGTCTTTAATGCCGGTGTCATGCTAAGGATTGGAGATCGAGGATTGAAGATTAGATTTCGACGAGTCAACAAACTTCGGTCTTGCTTTGTTCCATAATTGGTCCAAACTTCAGTCCGCAATCGTCAGTCTCCAATCCATAGTCTCTGGATACGGGCATAACGATCAGCCTCCGCCTCTCGAGCAGGGCCCCGATACGATCGTTCGACCTTCCCTTCCGCGTCCCTTCCGGAGCTCCCGATGCCCGTGGCGTTGGGAATCGCGAGGACGAGAAGCGTGTCACGCCCGAGACAGAGAGGACAACAGAACGGACTTTCTGCGCTGACTTTAGCCCTACGACCGATCGCGAGGGCGCAGTCAACCGTGGCTGTTCGTTGGCTGATTCACGAACCGTAACGTTGATAGCTCTACTTGTACATACTCGAGACGAATACTCGAGATAAAGCTCGTTTGGATCAGGACACGGATTTCGAAAGTGTATCGGTGTGCCTGTCCATCTGACCTTCGTTTGGAACAAAACGCGCATCAGTGCTGATCCATTCGCGAAAACTACGAAGAATTACGTATTAACAATCGTTGCTTGAAACTTGTTTCGAGTGAGACATTTGAATTAGATCAGTATTAGACTAGGGGATTTATTATTAACTATTCGTGTCATAATTTACGATCGTGTGATTTCTTCTCAGTAAACTCTTTTCAACGTTAGATTTTGTCTGTTACTCTTCACCCACTCTGTTAACAGTTGTAACAGTTATAGTGTTATTAACTCTTTCTTCTGCATTTTTCAGTTTTTTTTTTTTTTTAATATTTCTTTTAAAACCGCGTTCGTGAGTCCTGGTTGTAACACGTCAATCGATTTTTTGACGAATTTACTCACTTTTCGTATTATCATCTCACGTGACATTGGTCACTCAATCGTGGAACTGTTGAGTGAAAATGTGAAATAACTAAATATTTTCGGTCTAGTGATCTCACATTTTCACGAAAAAGGTCCGCCTATAGTGTATCCAATGTCCAGAATAGGGCGATGCTACAAAATAAATATCCCGATAACGGCAAAGAAAAAAACGGCTATGAGGAAAAGAAATACGTTTAATTATTATATTATTAATTTGCAATAAATCGCTGCAAGGAAGACTGAGTTATCAAAAAGAACAACAAACACACCAACGTGTTTCACCACATGTTTCAAACTCCACTGACTTTCATTAATGTTGGTATAATAGAAGTAAATAAATAAATATAAATAATTATAAATATATAAATATAAATAAATATTATGTGAGAAAAAAAGAGAGTAATGCTACATTAAAAATGTGAAGTTAAATATGCTTAAAATTTGTTAACTTTTATAAAAAGGTTACAGAGAGAGAAAGAGAGAGAGAGAATAATGAACATAACAGAAAAACAGTATCCAAGTAGAACACAAAATTATTTTGATGTTAAGATGATATCATTTTGACATCAGTCATGAAATTGTTATGAAAATGGCATTATTTAACGTCAAAGTGACATCATTTATATCATTTGAAGTCATTTTGACTTTTATATGACTTTGTCCTTTACTTTCTACCTGTAATCTTCTTCTTATTCTCTTCATTACATTATTCTGATGCTCCATAACTAATACTACCATTAAATTTTCCATTGTACAAAATAAACTTATTCTTTCCGTTACACTACTTCTCGATTTCACCTTTCCGCCATAAAATTTCGTGTCGAATTCGTTCACGCGAATAATCTCGTATTTTCGCGAGGTAAGATTAATTGTAATCAGGCGAGTTGCTCACTTTCATCATTTTCACCCAATCAGAGAACCGTAATAAGCTCCCAGAACTGATTATAGATATAAATGTCGCATATGTTATAATTCAACAGGAAAACTTGACTATAAGGGCCATGGAAATTTTAAGCAATAGAAATAAACAACAAGTGAGCAGTAAAACGTAAGCAGTAAGGAAATTGATCAATCGCTGATTCTTTTTACGGTTTAAGAATCAGTGACTGTGATTGGCCAATTTTTTTTACTGCTTACGTTTTACTGCTCAAGTTTTTCTATGTGCTATGGCTCTAACTCTAACAAAAGTTTAAGTATCTCACACGAGACAAGTTGACATCTATTAATGCGGGTCCATAAATTTGACACTGCTATTGAAGATATGATTATTCCTGAGCGAGCATCAAAGAAAGAGATAATTCACCTTTAACACGAAGAATGTGATTTCGTGCTCCCAACGGTTCGTTTTGCAGAGTTCCTGACTGAGTTGATTCTTCCTCGGCGAAAGGTTACAAAGGTACCGATAGTTTCCAAGTCCCCTTCTTAATGCAAAATTCTTCCACGAAAAGATTTAATATCGAGCATTAAAAAAATCGCCTGAGAAGTAACTTCCAATAAAATTCTTATTGCGAGCCAGCCCTCCTTGAATTTATAAGAAACGCGCGAAGAAGCGAGGAAAAGAGGCGCCTCGTGCAAAATACTAAAGGAAGACGAATAGGGTGCATTTAGGAAGAGAATTGATTTCTCGAAGAGGAGAATTATTCACTCCCTCAATTAATTGACGCGTCGCCTTTATTAGCATCTTCTTTCTCGCGCTGTCCGTCTTTTAAAACGAAACGAATACACGCTCGCACTGCGTAAAAAAGAAAAGAGGGAAAAGAAGAATGAAGGGGGCTAAGTGCAGAAAGAGTGGCTGAGAAAAAAAGAACAGAGCTCGCGTCACCGGTGTGAGGCCGCGGGGTTGATCGGCCGTATCGATCGTTTTGATTGGCTATTCAATCGGCCAAACGATTCGCCCCTTCCGACCGTTGATCGCGGTAATAAAGATACCGTGGAAAGATTAAAGGTTGACCAGGACACACACATTCGCTACAACCCTGGCCCGAGGAACTCCACGGTCGCCTTTTGTCCTGCTCCGCTCTCCGAGTGTGTGCGGCACAGACGGGATTTTTCCCTTCTCACCACGTCGACCTGTTCCTGAGTCATGATCGGGGTGCCCGGGGCGAAAAGATACCTGAGATCATCGCGCGCGGTCTCGCGTTTATTTATTCAGTTCCTTCTCTTTTTTCTTCTAACGTGGAGCCGTGTGGAACCTCGATAAATTGTACGACATGGAGAATAAATGTCCCGATGCGGGCGTGATTTATCGCTTTATTAACCCTTCGCGTACGATCACATTTTATTTATTTGCAGGAACACACATTCCTTCTTGTATAAACGATTGCACAAGATTGACGTGTTACAACCAAGACTCACGAACGCGGTTTTAAAAGAAATATTCAAAAAAAAAAACTGAAAAATGCACGAAAGAAAGAGTTAATAACACTATAACTGTTATAACTGTTAACAGAGTGGGTGAAGAGTAACAGACAAAATCTAACGTTGAAAAGAGTTTACTGAGAAGAAATCACACGATCGTAAATTATAACACGAATAGTTAATATTTTGGGTGATAGAATCGTAAATAGATCGCGTAAGTTAGATTTATACGAATGAGGCCGTTAAAACGGGACCGTATAAAACGATCTAGGACAAGCATTAAAATTAATTGAAGCAACTGGATGTGAGCAATCAACATTAGCACTAATTATTTTGCGAAGAAATATAGCGTTTGTCAATCATCTGTCGACTATCCAACGTTTGCATATTAAGCAAAAGCATAAAATGCGAATAAGACGGGATTGCAAACACTCATGGGATGTCCCATTTTAAAAGAGATGAATCTAAGAAATTTATGCTGTACTGCTTCAATTAGATTAATGTGCTTAGCCTGGTAAAACGACCGAACCACGCTCGCATATTCGAGATGAGAGTGAATGAAAGATTAATACAATAATTTAAATGTTAATGATTTTCATATAAAAAATTTATAACAAATTTCACTGATATCGACACGATTTTTTATATTTTATTTTATGTCCAGGAGAAAATAGTGTTTTTATCTTAATATATAAATTTTTTTCGGAATTTACAGGTTAATACACATTGTATATGTATGTATATTTGCGAGACAGGCAGAGAGAGAGAGAGAGAGAGAGAGAGAGGGAGGGGACGTTAGCATATGACTGTCTGGCAGAATTTATCAATTAGTACTGTCGATTATGTATTCGCGAGACACACACACACATACACACTAATGAGACGATACTGTGTTGAATCGTTCGACATGGATGGACAGCGTCGAATGGCGTCGACTTTTTCCCGAGGCTAAACATATTTCCATACGCGCCTAGCCTACCGTGATAGTTATTGTCGACGCGTCTGATTCAATTAATTAGTTGCAATTCATATTATAATTGCCGCTATTGTCAATATTTGAATATTACTTAATTAATTGGTTTACGTTGTAATTACCGTTTCCATTAGTACACGTGTATTTGAAGTACGTCGCGAGATACATAATTTAGCAAGAAACGTACCCACGTGAGCGGGACGTCCGCGCGAAATTTCGGATGTCAAAGATCGTTGTCGACCCGTTCCTAATTGGGATGTAATGTGACCATGACTCCGAACACCATTACGATATGATAGATGATCGTCTATTCTTGAAATCGAGAGCGCGACTTGCACACGTAAGCGTCCACGTAAGTGCTGCGGATTGTAACATAGAAAGGCCACGTGTGATGATAAAAGCTATGTAGAATAACCAAAGTAAAAGAAAGTTTTCCAAGACCAAGTCAACAATACCTCTCTCGTTCGCATCATTGATGAGATAGACTCTCTCTCTCTCTCTCTCTCTCTCTCTCTCTGAAAACGTTTTAGTATAAATAAATCAATATAAATAAATATGTTATCAGTATCCGCCGCGCGAGTATAAATATTTCTTTTTACTTCTTAGATATTCTTTCTCTCTCAGCGTACATTCTACATTGAATGTTTGAATATTCGTATCCAGAGGCCCGGAAGAATAAGAATACCTTAGGTTAGCTACGTGTTCAGGGCGGCGCTGAAACTTTCATCTTAACAATCGCCCGGCG